TAAAATAACGATTTAACAATGCATACATGCACACAAATTGAATGTGAACAATATTATGTAAAAATATAATGGAAATTATAACAGGTTGATCGATGGTCTCGAACAAATCACAGTATTGGCGTATATATTTTACTGGCTAATGATTGAAACACGCCATAATGATAAACATACATTATATTTTTTCCTATAAATAATGCGAAGTACGGCTTGAAACCATTTAGAATGACGTTAGAATATTAAAATTATTTATTTCATTATCAAGGAAACACATTACATTAGTTATGTGCAATTGTATATTAACAATTTTAACCTGTATAATACGCATAGATTATCACAACTTAACAGTGACTATAGACTATACAACATAAACTTATTACAAATTTAAGAGCTTATAAGGATATGAGCTTTTAGTTCTCTATAACAACACATGATATAACCTTTGTTCGACGTCTATGTACTCAAATAGATGTAGAATTCTTTTTATTTTACTTGCACGTGGTAGTTGAATATTACTCTAATAAAACATCATGTATAGCTCATAAAGACCGCAGAAAAAGAATTTATCTATTCTCTATACCAGGTACTTAGCGAGTTGCCTTGTATGAAAAACAATTTTATAACAATACTTTTAGGCTGAAATAAGATCTCTTTCCTACTGTTTTTAAAACGAAGCGATCGCAACAAACCCGTGTCATTTGTTAAAGGTTGGTGACTCGGTAGTCGGCGAAGTGTGTACAAGTAACAATGCACAAGGTATACAACCTCGTCAGTACTACACAATACCATCGGTTCCAAATTTAGTATTACATCCGTTGCTTATAGGCTGTAGATTCCTATTCAGATACTTTATACGTTTCATAAATATTATATATGTTTCTGCCTACCTACCTTGTTCGGTAGTGTAAAATAGCCACTTTCAGTAATTGAAATTATGGAAAATTACTCTTCTATTTATTTCTCAACACATCCGGATAGTAATGCCGTTCTTAGAAATAACCCCGACGACGAGAACAAAATGAACGATAACTTTTTTCTATTTTAAACGAACAAGACTTCACACATGATACACGTTCGCACGCACTACACAATATTATATACACACGGACGTTACCAACAGGCTGTTGGCGTCACTCTGGCCTGGCGGCCGGTTTTCTTCAGCAGGTACTGCTTACTACTCTATACGCGACCGCGATATAATTGTTTGCATGTTTGGTGGTGGTAAGAATAATACTGAAGAAAACGTGCAACAAAACAACAGTCCGTCGACTCTAATCAGTTTCTTGACGAGGGTCAAACACTCTTTTCGATAGATGAACAATATCAGACTAATAAATATAGATTAAATGGAAAACCGAACAATTGAACTTATATTTAAAGTTTTTATTTTTTCAATGCTAATTAAAGATACAAATTTCATAACAGTGTTTTAATTAATCTCCAGTAGAGGCATTTTGTATTTAACAAAATCATAAAACTCGCATATAATAATTTAAAAGTTAAAATTACATTTTTAAAGCATTTTTAAACGAAAGACAATTTACTATATGGTTCAAATTTAATTATCTTTACATCTTTATTATAGTAACTTAATATAATTTAAACAAAAAATTAATGCATACAAAAGTTTAATACTAGTAGGAGAAAATGTCCTATTTTATCACATAGATGGGATCACCTCTCCCCACCTATTTTCACTAATCAGAATATCTATAAATAATTGTTACTGATAATTATATACAAAAATGTTGACCTCGTAGAACATTAAGTATAGTATTATAATTTCGTTATATTTTTACAATACAAATATAATGCTAGATGATGTCAATAAACCTCGTGTTAATTTTAATTGCTATTAAAATTATGATAAATATACAAGTTAGACAATAATTTGACAACCTCGATGACAACAGTAAACTATGAGTCTTTGTGAGGACGAATTCAATAAATATTAGTTAATTACTAACACACGTTTTTTTACTATAACAAGTTTTTCGTACTACAACTTGTAAAAAAATGTAATGCAATTATTATCAAATGTATAATTAATTAAACAAATCACTATCTAAACGATAACGATACATATTAAAAAAAAAATGATGTGTAAAATAAATCTGCAATGATATAGAGGACTATAAAATAGTATAATAGTGGAACATTACCTCCACATCTACATAAAATAAAGATTTCTCAATAAATAAGGACAATAACCGTTGGTTGTTTTATAAATAGTTGTATAGCATAGTCATCTAGAGATTAGTACAAGGTCTACTATAGCAAGTCTTAACTAAAACAATCCATCAATCGTGTTAAGTTTACAGACAACAGCTGATAAACTAGCAGGAGACGAAGTTTTGTTTTTAAAAATATTTAACCTCTACTTAATTATAAAAATCTGTTAGTTTAATCATTTTAAACACCCAAATTAATTTTTAATGATTATATATATATTATAGCTTGTTATTTAATTTTTATAAAATGGAATAATAATAATTTATTAATTACAATCAAATTAACATTATTCCTTTATCACATGATAATTTTGGATGTGTTAAGAAAAAAAATATATATAGAATGGATCAGATCTAACTAATAAATTTTATAACATTCAGTCTAATTATCATTTTCTTGAGTTTTATTTTAACTTTAATAGTTATTGACTTCTTAGACTATATTTAAAGCGTATAAAAAAAAAAAAATCAATTTTTTTCAACTTTTTTCTTATTAATGATAAACAATAAAAAATATATTTTAAAAAAGTCTAAGAAGGCAATAATTATTCAAAAAATTAAAATAAAATGACAATTGGATAAAAATTATAAGTGTTGTTAGTTAGATCTGGATAATGCTGTTATATATTATTCGAATCTAAAATGTCCAAAAGGAACAAGGGCCCTTTGACCTGAAAATAACTACATATTCTTGAATTTTTGGTTTATACATGGTATATAAAAGAACAAAATTTACAGTATTATAGTGTAATAATTACAAGTAAAATAAAAATAAAGTACAGTGAAATATATAACAAGTTAAAATTAGTAAAGATAAATTTAGAAAAAAAATTGTAATTTCCATTTATATGAAAAGAAAAAAGTAATTATATCAATATTAAAAATAAATATATATAAATATTGAGGAAAATTATTGTAATTAAAAAAAATTGTTTAAATAATAATTTGTAATATTTAATATAGCAGATAACAAATGTATCAGATTTCAACTTTTTTAGGTTAATTAATAGTATGAAGTGGAAACCATAGAAATAAAATAGATAATATTAAAAATTTAAGTGAAGTATAATAGTATATATTTTAATACTACTTGAAAAAGCAAAAAAATCAAGACATTATTAAGAAGTTATTCAAAATTGCATATTTTAATTATAATTATTCAAATTAAAAATCTAGTAAATTTGAGGACCTATTTAGGTGATACTAGTATAGGTAAATACGACTGGAAATTAATACATATTATAAAATTTATACTAAATCACTTATAATTTAAATAAGGACAAATTAATATTATTTGTAGAGTAGACATTAGTTTCTAAAAAAGTATTGAGATTATTAGTTAGTAAGATGCATATTTTAAATGTATTCTTAAATGTTATTTCATAAATCACTGATCATTATGTTATACATGTTTCTATATCTGCAATTTTTATAAAATAGTCAAGTAATATTNTTATGTTATACATGTTTCTATATCTGCAATTTTTATAAAATAGTCAAGTAATATTTTGTTTCTTTCAAAGTTAAGAATCAATTTTACTAGAAGATTTCCTCTGCATTAAGCAGTATCACTAATATTCATTAAAAAATGTAATTTATTTTTTTATTATTATTTGTATTTAAAAAATCACATTAACAACAGATAAAAATATATTAATTTTTTTAGTTTTTTAAAAGTATTAATTTTTGACTACATCACTTCTTAGAAATATCATCAATCAATTTGACAGAATATTTTTTTAATCTAGTAATTCGGTACAAAAAATGAGCTATTACCCATTCAGTATATAGAAAACAAGAAATTGTTTTATGTTAAATACAAAAAAGTATTTTGATAACAATACCAAAAATGTTTTAAAAGTTTCCTAAATATACATATTATGCAAAGCTTAATATCCACAAAAATAATGATTAACAGTAAATCTTTCAAAAAAACTTTATAATTGAGTAGATTGATGAAAACATATTTTTCCAAAAAAAAATACTTAGATACACACATTTTCTAATCAATTTAAATCATAAATAATTGAATTGAAAAAAAAATGCTAATCTACCAAATAAAAAAAATTGTAGGATTGTAGTATTTATAAGAGATTATCTTTAATTATAAAAATTGATAAAATTTGACTAATCATTGATCAATACAATCCAGTAAAAGCTGAGTTGACAGATAAAAAATAAACGTATCATTGTTAAATCAATACCTTCTAAAATAAGCAATGAAGCAATGTAAATATAAATTTAACTTTATAACCCAATAATATTATCAGCTTACAGCTCATTGAAAAAAAAACAAATAAAAACATGATAATTTATAACACAAAACCAAATTAAGGGAATGGGAATTTTTTTTGTATTAAAAATACTTAAACATGGTATTATAAAATTTAATCATGTTTTATGACCACTATAAATAGGGTAACAACTAATTTATATAATTAATCTTGCCTAGTATCACAAAGAACTATAATCAAACCTTGTACATTTATCTAATTTTTTTTTTTACTAAAGCTCTCAAAGAAAAATGAGTTCTTTAATTTAGATAAAATAATTAAATTTGTATTTTTCAAAATATATAATAATATAAGATTCATAAACACATGCCATAAATTTAAAAAATGTTCAAACTTGGATCAGAAATTTGTTTTTTTTGAGATGTCAATCAAAAAAAACACCAAAGAATATATCAAAATCACTTTATTCAAAATTGGACAAAACGTAAAGCTACTTAGTGGTGAATTATGGTTACTTTAATTTAAATTATACTGATACCTTTTAGCAAATTGAGGAGCCAGGTTGATTAGGTCGGTGTTTCCAAGGTCCTTTGTGAACGAATTCACTAACTATTTGTCGTTTGTTAACATCAACATCTTAGTTTTCGAATTTTAAATTTGATATCCTTACTACAAAATATAACAATAAATTTCGTAACTTTTTTTACGACTAAACCGAAATTAAAAATATAGTGGCGCACTATCGACCAATTCAAAATTTTTCTAGACAACGGAATCTGCACGTGTGGAAAACAAATGAAAAACCGCGATAACAAAGTAATCAACTACAAAAGTTGGATAAAATCGAAAAAACCGTCGAACACAGCAATTTTAGCTAGTGACAAAGGAAATGGCCGGTTGCTTGGGGCGCCACCTGTCGACGTTATCGTATGTGCGAATGATATCGATTATAGACTAACACTGACGTCAAAGAGATTAGATTTTCTCGATCATGATATTTTGTTATATTTTAAATGGCTTTAGAGACATTCCCTAAGGCTTTAATGTTTTGTATAAGAAAGTGACAATACACGAATTGAAGTGCTCTGTTCAAGGGTAATTCCATTTTTTCTTCTAAATCACATTTTAACGTTTCTAAATTAAGTCTAAACGACAAATATATAAATAAATATATATATCCAAGACAACAATATTTGTAATAAATAATTAAAAAACAGCGTTCTTTTAATTTATTGGTAGAAAAGGATACACGTTAAAAATGTTATGTTTTTTCAGTTCTCTGAAAAATTTAGAAAAATGGTGTTATCTTATTTTTGCAATCAGATCTTCAATTCCTTTATGATAACCGCCAGTCTAAAACTCAGGATAGTGAGTGACTACAAATATGTCATTTTGTATTATAAAATAGCAATTTTAATAGTAATAGGATTCTGACTGCAAAAACTCATATAGTAAAATTCGAGATTATGGAGGCTTTTGATTGAATGAAAGCTTTTACCCTATAGTTAGATAAACATTAATCATTTGTTTTTTTTTTTTTATATTTTTTATTGTTAATTTGATGAAGTTAACCGAATTTTAATTTTCAGTATTAAAGTATTCATTAAAGACATTTTTTGTGCCATTGTGTATTTAGAACATTAAAGTGTTTAAAAGTAATTGTAACAATTATTCAATTCATTTTAATAATTTTTAATCTAATATTTATTTTATACTATTTTTCTAGAGACAACTAGCGCTCTTGATTGCTCTAAATAATGTAGATAATAATATTTCAATATTGTGGTTCACAATTTGTTTTCATAGTACAATAGTCTTTTAAAAACTTTATTTGTATCATTAAATCTAGCATTTTTTAATGTAATGGGGCGTATAGCAAAAATATTTTCAATAATCCCATATTTTGTACCTTTTTTCTTTTTTACTTTTGAAAGTAAATATTGAATAGAGAACCTAGACTCAGTATCCCTCATTCTGGCTACTACACAGTTATTTATGTATAAAAAATGTGACAATAAAAGATTTGGATTCAGAAAGATGACGCAGGAGGTAAAATTATTGATTATAATGCCAAAAACTTTTTCTGATCTTGTAAAAATTCTGAAAATATCTCTTGTCTAAATTGCTAAATTTTGATAAGATATATATAAATATGTAATTGCTCAATGATACAAAGTAATTCGTTTATCACGATCCACTCGATTACTGTGAATGTAAAAATAGGTCAGGATCATTTTTTTGGCTTTTTAAATTTACAAATATTCCTTGATGATTGTGGCATAATAGTTCCATATTATCCACTTTACAATATGGCAATGAAATGGGTGCCTAAAAATAAATTGTTCACGTAATATATTTAACACATAATTCTGTACCACTTTCTTTAAAGAAAGTGGTACAGAATTATGTAGCCCTTTAGCCCTGTGCAGTATTTATAGCTTAAAAAGAAAATAATTAATTCTTTTAAAGTGCTTCGATATTGAGTAAATATGATCTAACAATATGCACTGAACGTTTCTTTTTAATGTTTTATTTTTGTTAAAATTTTAGACATCATAAATTTAATTATCTAAATTTTATTAGAATTATACACTAAATTCTAATCTTAATCAAATTATTACATTTTTAAAACTTTTTTAATTTGTAAAGTTAATTGAATAATTAATTATATATCTTAGTATAAACAAGGGTGTTGTAAACCTCTTACCGGAAATGATTAATGATGTTTAAAATTTGTAGACATGTGTAAATTCTTTTAAAATTTAAAAAAATTGTCAAATGGCTTTTTTTTCATTTAAATTTTATAAGTGTATCGACGCGGAAAAAAATTATTTTGGAATAGAAGTTAATTTCTGAAAATTTCAAATTTCTAACTTTTGTTAGTTAGTTTGATGAAAATAGTAACTTAGGTAACAATAAAACTTACAAGTTACTTTTTTGTATAGTTTAAAATATAAATTAAAAAATTTGTTTGTTCATATATATTAGTCTATATTACCTTTTAGCTATGTAAATTACAACATAATATAACATATACAAGGTGTCCAGTAAGTCAGGAAACGGGTTTCTATTGTTCTCATTGTTTGTAACAATGAGAACAATAGAAACCCGTTTCCTGACTTACTGAACACCCTGTATATAGTTAATGCTCGGCTTTAAGTGTAATGTAATAACCCTTTTAACATTTGGATATTTATTTACAGTTTTTTATATTAATTAGGAACATGTACTGATATTAAGTATAATTCATACCTTCGGTATCTATTATCAGCTTTACTTTTTAGCCAGTTGTTCTATAAAATACAAAATAGTATGCACATCTTTTAGACAATGATTACAATTTTCATTATTTAAGGAACCATACACAATGGTTAAGCTAGTATAGTAAATTCAGACTATACTAAAAAGTATTTAAAATACTGTTAGATTAGAATTTGGTAGAACTTATAAACAACAACATATTGGTAAACGGTCACTGGCCAGCTAACTTTATTATTATCTCTTTCTCAAATACGAAAAAAGTATTGGAGTACTAGTATTCGATATATATCTGTTTAAATATTTTAACAAGCCTAAAGCTATGACACTTAAAACATAGTGACCGGTGCTGTAATCCTATATTACATATGCTTAGATATAATCAAATTAAAATTTGCTATATGAATTTACAAATTTAATATTTTTGTTAGGGTCACATTAAGATCTATATGGACTTTAAGGCGAAATCTTGAAATGAGTTCCTTATGGAAAATATAGCAACCATAAAAAACTGATGAACAAAAAAAACAGAAAAACTTTGTTTAGTCTAGTAACATTTGAAATGGACAACTAAAAAAATTATAATAATAATAAAGTAGTTGTATATTTCTTTACTTTTAATGTGTATAAAAATTTATAGGGCTTGATATAATACATTAAAAAAAAATTTTTTGTTACTTATGAATAAATACACTAGTCTATAAGAAACTTTCATCAGAATCAAAAGTATAATTTTCCAAACCAACTTATCGCGCTGTTTTCAAATCTACAATTAGACTTTTTCTATCACTTCTATTTTTTTATATTATTACTAATTAGTAAAAAATAAATATTTACAAATAGAATAATAATTTAAAAAAAAATTGTTTTCATATTATTACTGATTTTGATTTTTAATATGTTAAAAATAATCTGTACAATATGTTATTTTTAACCTATTTTTTTTCTTTTAAGTTGATTTTTGTTAAAGTTTATAGTAAAAAAATGTTTTTATAAAATTATTTTTTATTATTCGCTAATAGTACTATAATCAATTAAAAAAAAATGTCAATAAAAAAAGTTCCCATAACTGTCTGATCTGAATTACATTAGTTCTTACAGAAAAATAAAGGTACTATAGTTTTTAAAAAAATATTAAGCTTACACAAACTCTTAAGTTGTAATTAGAACTCTAACATTTTTTTTTTGAACTATAAACACTAGTAAGATAAATTCAACTTATATAGTTAAATAAATATACTGATAAAAACCTAGAAATTTTCCTTAAGATGCCAACAGTTATGGTCAAATGATTTTTCCATGAAAGGCTTTTATGATAAATATCAACATAGTATCTGTGCCTCCATACCACAGATTTTTTTTATATGTATTACTATGATGATAATGTGTATACATTACAAACTTGGCATTAATACTATGATAAGAAATTAGATAAGGCAATTATTACTTATCTCTCTCATTCAAAAGTATAAGTCATTTTCATGGAAAAAGTTACACACCTACAAATTATAGTAATCATGAAAAGATAGCGTTTTCTTCTGTCCTTTTCTCAATACGTATTTCAATGTTTAATACCGTAAAATAATACATAAAAATTCAAATTTTCATAAACTTCATAACGCTACAGAACATTTACTAATGAATATTAATAAGATATTTTTTTACTAAAATTTTTCTTAAATTCTACTTTACAAAATAGCTATCTTAGATTTTTTTTTTACATTTTATTTAAAATTTAAAAATAATTAATATTTTTAATAAAATGTAAAAAAATTAATTATTGAGATATAGCTATAGACCTAACGTNCATTTTATTTAAAATTTAAAAATAATTAATATTTTTAATAAAATGTAAAAAAATTAATTATTAAGATATAGCTATAGACCTAACGTATAACTATTATTTAAAAAAAAAATCAACTAAAAATATTAACTGGATCAAAAGTTATTTAAGTTGTCAGTGAGTGGTGGGCCACTCTGTATAAAGTTTCCAAAATATAAAATATATATAATGAAAATTGAACAAAAATGTCAAAAAGGGTATGTCAATGGGAAAGTGTTCTGAATTTTTTTCCATTTGACCACCATGAATGCCAATAACTGAACAGTTTTCCCTAGATTTTGTTTCAATTTGTCGAGTATCAACTAAGTTCATTTGTAACCGTTAAATAGTAAAACTTTTAAACTGACGACATCTAGTGATGACTTAATGTTTGCTTATGGTGACCCTACTGAAATAAAAAAAAGGACTTTTTAGGTTATTACGAAGGGCTAAACCATCCAAATAAAAAAATTCACTTATATATATAAACAGTGGTTTTTTACACTAGTCATTCGATTTTTCTTAAAATAATAATTATTTTAAGAAAACTATTTTTAATTTTTTTAGTTTCATATATTTCTAAATTAATTAGTCATTAATAAATGTTTTAATTTATCCCTTATACTTTATAAGTGGTAACAACTTTTATATACCTCCGCCTCACCTCTAGTCTATATTTAAAATAAAAACTTCCAAAATAGTTGGCCGAAAGTTATAATTGATTCATCATTTTCTTATGAAGATCATTTTTTAATAAATTATTTTATAAGCTAGTCAGATATGTATATTGTCATTTAAATAAATAAACTTG